GGGGGAGGGGAGTTTTAATTTTTTATAAAAAACTGTCTGGATCTATGTTTGTGCGTGTATTATGTATGTATACTTGAAACAACTGAATTATGTGTAATTCATGGTCTGTTTCTACAGCTAACAACAACTTTTCCAATTGCTTTGACCAGTACTTCACGGTCTGATGGTCAAGCTACTGAAGATATTGGGTTTTGTTTCATCTTCTAAAGTAATTGTTAGCTCTACGACAGAACGGTTTGTTCAGACTTTTAGCCGTCTCGAGATGAGCGCATTAAGTTAGCCTAACACTTATAAATCGCAAATTAATGTTTTTATGCGTTTTTTTGCAACTATGCAATGCAGAAAACGTATATTGACGAGGGGTTGTCTCTCTGTGCCTGTATGTCTGTTTGTGCGCCTGTATCGATTTCTCATTTTAAAACCTATTAAAGCTACAGGACTGAAACTTTGGTAACTTAATCTACGTACACATACGGACTTCAATCCCCAAAAATGGGCGCTCTTACCCTTGCAGTACCTACTTACGGGCCCATGAAAGTTTTTTTCTTGCGTAAGTTTCTAACTCGGATTATTTTCTGCTGAAAAATCGTTCCATTTTTGCAGGATTTATTCTACAGAATGGTGGTGTTGTGCCGCCATCGCTTCTCCAGGAAGGCCGTGTACCGCGTTTCTATCACGAAGCAATTGCACGTTGCGGTGCTGCAACCCCGTCACAGTTGCCCAATACGGGATTGGTTTATAATTTGATGGTCACATCACGTTTGCCACGTGCTATACTGGGCAATATATGGTCACTTGTGAATCGAACTTTACCCGGACAACTTACCCGCCAGGAATTCTTCTCATGCCTCGCGCTAATTGCCTTGGTACAGGTAAGATTTGTTTCTTACATGCATTTGAATACATCGAGAAACCCCTGTATTTAGTGGACTATGAGTATCTGAGGATATCGTGCTGAAAATGTCATGGCAGGAAATTTTCCAGACTAAATTAGGTGAAATTTAGTTTCCTGGCATTATCAGGATTACAAATTGGTTAAAATTTGATCCTGAACATCGTTCCATTTATATTCAGTACTGATGATGGTATATATGTGTGTGTGTTTGTGTATGTGTGTATGCGTGTGTGTCTATTTGTGTGTGTATGTATGTGTGTACACGTATGTGCGTGTGGGTGTATGTCTGTGTATGTGTATGTATTTATGTAACAAATAATATCCCTTGTCAACAGTGGCATTCTTTTTTTTTTCAAACAATCTGTCTCATATATTATTAACGGATAATGAGCCTCAAACGTAGCATTTATGAACCCTTTCCTTTCGTTTTTTAGCAATCAACTGAAAAAAAAAAGAAAACGTAATAGAAATTGGTTTTCACGTGTTTTTTTGCTATGTTTTTTGTTTTTTTGGTAAATCTTGCCCTCTTTTCTTTTGTTAAAATTTAGGTGTACTGGCTAAATTTTGCATATTTTTTTGGTCCTTTTCGCATTTCAAGCTTTCATCGTTCTGAAAGTAGAGAAATCAGCTAAAGATGGGGGCCTGGTATTAGCTTCATCTCAGTGATATGGAAAGTTCGGTTTCATTTCGGACTCAAAGAAGCATTTTTGCCATTGATAAGTGTGTAAAATCTTATAATCCCCGTTATGAGAAAGCTCTTACTGGATGAATGATTATGTTTAGAAGGGTCAACCGCTTTCGGCGCTTTCAACGATGACTTCATTGCCAATTCCTCATCTCCAGGCATGTGCCCCAATGGCCCAGTATCTGCCCAGGCCTAACGTGAATTCCCAGAAACATGAGCCAGGCCATCCGCAAACTGCTGCAGCAGCACCGAATGCATCCAACAACCCCGCCGCAGCAGGAGCTTCATTGAAGTCGCCTCAAACAACCGTCGTAGCCACGTCAAATTCACTATCGCTGCTCTCGGATATCAATTTTTCGGTGCCAGCAAGCACATC